GGGTAGTTCAGGGAAGGTTCTTCTCGGTTGGTGAAAGTAGGAGTAAAAATTAGACCAACACTGAGAGGAATTTGTTTCAGGTCAAGAGAATATGCATGAACGCCCTAAGACAGGAAATAACTTGGTAAGTGTGAGAAGATCTGGAGAGGGAGCAGAACTCCCATCATGTGGCATGTTAGATAGAGTCTATAATGATTTTGTCTTCAGTCCTGTTATGGGAAGCCACTGAAATTGTCTAAACAGAGGAGTGATACATTAGATACGCCTTACTATGACTGAATGGATTGAAGCGGGCAAGAGTGGAGGCAGGGAGAGCAAGTAGAAAGCAGATATAGTTGTATATGAGGTGAGAAATGATAGTGACTTGGGCTAGAATTGTAACAGGAGAGGGAGAGGGAAGCAGGGAGGGAGGGAGATGTGAGTAATTTAAGACAGGTTTTGAAGTGTCGACTGAAGGAGTTTTGTAATTAATTAGATATGTGTGTGAGTGAGAATGAGATGTAAAGAGAATATACCAGGTTTCTCTTCTGAGCAACTTGATGGATGTTGGTGCCACTCACTGGAGCAGTAGAAGATAATACATTGAGTGGGGGAAACTATTATTTCAGTTTTTCACTTGTAGAGTTTGAGGTACTTATGAAACATCCAGGTGAAGATGTTGAAAATTGACTAGAGAAATGTGTCTGATGGTTCGTGTTGAGAATGAGAAGATTGGGGCGCCTGGGTGGCTCAGTTGGTTAAGTGACTGCCTTCGGCTCAGGTCATGATCCTGGAGTCCCAGGATTGAGTCCCACATCGGGCTCCCTGCTCAGCAGGGAGTCTGCTTCTCTCTCTGACCCTCTTCCCTCTCGTGCTCTCTATCTCTCATTCTTTCTCTCTCAAATAAATAAATAAAATCTTTAAAAAAAAAAGAATGAGAAGATTAGTGACTTCAAAGACAAAGTAGTTTGTGGGGTGTGGATGTGGCTCTAAGGACTGGGTGGCAAGTGCCGTGGAGAAAGTCCTAGAAGATGAGAAAATAAAAAATCTGTGAACTTATTCATATAGTTCTATTGCTTGGGATGAGGATGGAGAGGAACATTGAGCCACTGATACCAGAGATTGTTAAATTAATGGAGCCGAATCACATAAATATCAATTGAGTGTGGCTAGAGGAATACAGTTCTGAAGAGTATGGAGGAGTGAAGACTATACTAACTTCTTCACCTGACCTGTGAGGTATTTGAAGTACAGCAGACAATGCAGTCTATTTGGGGAAAGGAAAACCGTGTCTTGGGGAAGAATCAGGATTGGGGTAAAAGAGGAGGCTTAAAGCCAGGTAGCTTGGGAGAATGGGGATGTTTGGGAGTTTTTGTATCATTGAATGGGAATTACAAGGAATAAATTAGAAAGGTTTTTGAGGGAGGTGGGGAGTTCAGGCTTGGGAGGGTAGACGCACAGCACATTGCTGTAATGTTGAAAAGTATTGGAGATGAGAGGAGCTTATGTGTCAGTGACCAAGAAAAACACTAATAGTTTCCCAGGGGCTGGTGGGGCCTCAGGTCTCATGGCATTCAGCCTAGTGTAATATTTTTATCGGGTATTTGTAAAAATAAATGTACACTTCAGTGTTCTGTTGTGTTCTATTGGAGATTATAAACAAAACCTTTGAATTGTATTCTTTAAAAACATGAACCATACTGAACAGAATTTATTTCAAAACATTTTCATGTTAGAAGACATCATGGTTATAGATTTCCCTTTAAAATTTTTATTTTTTATTTTTTGCTTTATTTGAAGTCTGTCTCAAAAATTAACTTTAATGAGAAATTATATAAAAAATAAATAGTATTCTGAAGAACTTTTGTGAATTTTGTGTACTGCTGAAGCTGAGCAATAGTATAATTTGACAATTAATTGATTTGGCTTATTAATGCATTG